GTGTTTCTGTCAATATAGATTTCCTTTAATATTTTAATTATTAAATCCTTTAAATACCTGAGTGTGCACTTCCTGTTAGTCCGACCGGGTACAGGAAACAAAAGCTCCCTGTACCCGCGGACCATACCATAGATGGCTCGGCCACGCTACATGGAGGTAGGGGGAGAAATTGACATGGGAGGGGGAATGGACAGAGGAGGGGGGGAAATGGACAGGTGGAGGGGGGAAATGGAGGAAATGGACAGGTGGAGGGAAATGGACAGGGGATGGGGAAATGGACAGGAGGAGGGTGAATTGACAGGGGAGGGGAATTGACAGGGGAGGGGACATTGATGACAGGGAGGGTGATGGGGAATGAGAGTGGGGAGGGGAGAAAAGAGTGACAAGGGAGGGGGGAGAAGAGGGACAAGGGAGGGGGGAGAAGAGAGGGACGAGGGAGGGGGGAAGAAATTGACAGGGAGGGGAATTGATGGGGGAATGAGAGTGGGGAGGGGAGAAGAGAGTGACAACGGGGGAAAAGAGAGGGACAAGGGGGGGAGAAGAGAGGGACAAGGGGTGGGAGAAGAGATTGACATCCATCACACACACACACAATGCACCCCTTGCACACAGAAAAACACACAATGCATTACACACACACAAGCAATGCATCCCTTACACACACAGAAACACTCAATGCACCCCTTACAGATGCACACACTCAATGCATCCTGTACATACACAGAAACACACCTTGCAGCCCTTACACATACAAACACAGATTCACACAATGCATTCCTTACACACATATCCGGACATCTCCCTACTCCACCCCCTGTGAACAAACTCATTGGTGGAACATGAAAGTGGACCCTGGGACCCAGACCTTGAGCTGTGTAAAGGGCCTTAAAAAAAATGGAGCTGCTTCCCATTCTCCCAGAACATTGATTTTTGTGACCACAGTTACAAACAGCCTCCAGGGAGCCTGTTCTACACCAGACCAGTGGAGCCAGACTGCAGCTAGAGCCCATCATCCTCCTCATCTGGTTGTAAGTAGGCAATCAAGTATATTATTCGTGGCACTAATCTCTAGTCCCCAGAACCACTTCAGCTTAATGTAGTGGTTCTGGTGTCCATAGCCTGTCCCTGCAGGCCTTTTAATGTAAACACGGCAGCACTGCAGCACTGGCGTTAGTTAACATGGCAGATCATATGGATGGGGCATTGTGATGTCACATGGGGGGGGCGGCAAACTTTACTTTTGCCTAGGGCGGCAAAAATCCTTGCACCGGCCCTGCCCCTGGGATGTATTGCCCTTTAAAGACATGATTTGGGCATAAGGGATTTGTGTTGTGCTGCTGCTGGCCCTTTAAGAACCATCTGGGGACATAATGTGGCGTTACTGGGTGGCCACCATTTCCTGTATCAGAGGCGCATGGTGAGAACAATGGATGGCGGCCATTTTAACTCACAGACACTGTGTGGACTTTTCAACACGGTGCCATCTCGCCAGTATTTGGTGCACAGAGACATCGTGCAGTGGTTTTGGACTATACAGCAGGGGACACATTATACAGTGATTGTTTTTCATTTAGCCCGTATATGTTCTGCAGAATCTGCATTAAACTGTATCTTCCAAAGTACTGAACGGATCTGGGTGAATTTTGGATATGTGGTTCACCCAGATCCCCCAGTTCCAAGGATATACATATATATATATATATATATATTTTTTTATTTTTTTATTTTTTTTAATGGGGTTATTGCATGTTTTGGGGTCCCTGTGATGTGTTTTATGAAACTGTATTTCTCTGTCTGTGATAATTAGATTACCCATTGTGTAAGGTAATTGTATCACAGGCAGAGGGGAGGATTTTGTGTGGGAGTGTCTTTCTGTAATGTACGTGTGTTATTGGTTGTTCTGTAAAACCCTGTGGGCAGTACTAAGTTTGTGGATTGGGAATAAAAGAGACTGTATGTGCCAGTCCAGTCAGTTCCTGCTTAACCCTCAAAGTGAAGTGTCGTCTCATTATTGGGGGAGGATTTATTGTATGCTGTTCCAGTTTGACTGCTAGGAGTGTAAACCTATTTGCATGGTTTTTCCTATTCGGCTGTATACAACATTCATATGCTTGAGAGCATTCATATGCTCCTAGGGTTCGGTGGTTTTGGTGTCTGCTGCAGTGCTTGGAGTCCTCAGGAAGCGCTAGGAGCATCCTTCAACGGAGGTACCCAGTCAGGGTGCCAGGTGATCCGTTACAATCAGTATCTAAAGTCTGGGGCTTGAGGCTCTGTACATTCCTGAAATCAGTTCCACAGCGTTGCTTGGCTTAGTCCGGTGAATTAAAACTTCGCGCCCAATGCAAGCAACAGCCAACCCGCTGAAAGGCGTGAAACCAGTTTGCGCTAATCACCGCCCAGGTTTCACAGCCAAATCAGAAGAAAGGACACGAAACCTGATTGCAACAATTTGCTGAAAGGCGCAAAACCAATTAGAGACAATCAACGCTCAGGGAGGAAAGGGATTTCACTGTCCAATCAGAAGAAAGGGCGCAAATCCCAGGTTGAACGAGCTCTCATGCTCTGATTGGTTGCTGGCTCCTGGCAGTGACCAATCAGCGCTCCCTTGTGCCAACCAACCAGGAGAATGGCGCAAATGCCAAAACTACCGAACGACCAAGCATTCGATGGAAAGACTCAACAACGGATGGGGATTTCAGCGAACCCAGGATGGCATACGGATGGCCTGCCGTTTTACCCACGATCTTAGACCGACTGCAGGGCCAGCATTCATGGAACTGTTTTCGGCTACTGTGCCAGTGCGGTCGGTCAAAACTTCTAAGTCCCATATCTCCCGAACGGCTGAACCGAATGGGCTGATTTTTAAATGTTAGTCCCCCAGAAACAAGCTATCTGGGGATACCGAATTTATGCCTGTACCCCAAGTATTTGGGGTACATTCAAACTTTGGGGAAAATATGTTCCTTTTTAATTATGTTATTTAGTTATCTAAGGGGAGGGGATGTACAGAATGTATATTGTCTTGATTGGTTATACTGTTAATTATGTGGGTGTCTCCCTTGCATGGGCAGAATCATATAAAAGAGAGTGTCTGTCAATAAACCCTCAGTTCTTCTTGACCCTTCAAAACATAGCCTCGTCTCGTTCTTGAAAGGGGAATCTATGCAGCATAATCACTCAGCTCTTTTTAGAGCTGCACTTGACTTCCACTCCTGATCCAGCAGAAGGGAATAGGTGACTCCATCACTACACAGCGACTTGCCGGGAAGAAAAGGACGTCCCCAACAGCTGATACCCTCACCATACCAGGGTAGCCGTTACATTGGTGGCAGCGGTGGGATGGTCCTTTCATCCACAGCGCAGGTGCTGGATGGAGTCTCACTACGCCAAATTGAAGAGGCCTACCCTAAAGGATCTACTGGAGAACCGAGGAAGGAGTGCCAGTAACAGACCACGGAGGGAGCTGATCGCAGACCTACTAGAGCTGGACGAGATGGATCGGTCCATGGAAGTAACAGAGACCCAGAGGCCAAACAGCGAGGAGGACGAGGTCGCCTGTATCGTACAGAGGAGACTGGTCTTCTATCCAGAGACATCAGTGGAGCTGATTGAACGGCTGTTCATCGATGCCAAAACAGATATCCGGGAGAGGAGGGGGCATGAAATCGAACTGGTAAGAGCCCAGCAGCCCATTACACATACAGTTCCTGCTTCCCCTCTGCCTACCACCCCAAAGAAGGTGCCATTCACTGTGTTCAAGGCGTTTGTGGAGAATGAAGAGGAGATCGACGGATATTTGGCCGATTTCGAGAGGCAGTGCTCCTTACACCAGGTGCCCCCTGAACAATGGGTTACTATTTTAGCCAGGAAGTTGTCAGGCAAAGCTAACAAGGCATTTCGAGCCCTCACCGCAGAGGATATCCTACAGTACCAGCAGGTCAAAAAGGCACTGTTGGCCCGATATGCTGTGACACCGGAGGCATACCGCCGCCGATTTCGTGAGTCTAAAAAGAAGGCCGTGGACTCTCACATGGAATGGGCCAACCGTCTACAGCGAGTGGCCTCCCACTGGGTCCAAGGATGTAATGCCAGTACAGGGAAGGAAGTACTACAATTGTTATTAATGGAACACTTCTTCCAGGATTTGGCAGCCGATCTTCAAGACTGGGTGAGAGATCGACGACCCAGCAACCTGAAGGAGGCGGCTCGGCTAGCGGACGAGTATGCCGAAACAAGGACGATTAGTCAAGGTACTCACCGCCCAACGAGCAGGTCAGAACCACGTACCCCAGCTAGTAATTTTCATCCGGAGTTCCGTGCTCCCGTACCCCCAGGGCCCCCTCGCCCGCAGGGGTCCCCTAACTACCTACGAGATGTATCCAGGATGGCGTGCCATCGCTACAACAACCTCGGACACCTTGCCCGACATTGCCCCCTGGGGTCGGCAGCCAACAATTAGCGACGACCCTCACCACAAACAGAGACCGCATCCCCTCGCACTCCCATTTCTACCCCACGTACCTCGGCCGCCCATTGCCTGGAGACCAAGGTGGGCCCAGAGGATTGCCTGGGTATTTTATATGAGGCGGACCCGATACAAGCCGCATCACTGGACTCCTGACGGGAGAGTTACATCCTTACATCTTTACATCGAGAGAGAACCAGAGAGAGCCGAGAGAGAGAGCGACCTTGTGTCCCTCTGTTATGATATAGATGTGCCCATACTGACGTTAGAGTTTAACTCTAGCTATACCACATGATGTCAATATCTGAAAGGAAGGTGCACTATCGAAGCACTGAAATGCGCGTTGGGTTTCTTTTTCTTTCTGTCACTTTATTTTCACTGGTTCTGCACATTAGTACATTTTAATTTCTACTTTTTTCACCTCCTTTACTGATCTTGAACCCTGCTGTGTGAAGTCAAACTTTTAAAGGCTTATATAGTGATAGGAGGGGCTGCAGTGGCTCAGCTTTAAACTTTAATCTGTGACCAAGATACATTATATCGAAGTTGTGCTATTGATTCAACTGTAGCAATTTAATTTCTAGTTATGCTGGGGCATTTTGTAGCTATGCTCTCACTAGCCCGTTTTTTCACTCACCATATTAGTCTATCGGTGTTCTGAGACTTATAAGGTAGTGTTTCTCTGTCTTTGAGATCCTTTCATTTAGCTACCGATAGTCTTTCAGGTATACAGTTAGCATTTGGTTCTAGACCAGTTCCCTAGATATATACTTATGTCTTTTGATTCCAGGGACATGACAATTTAATCTCTAAACTTTCAGATATTGACCTCATGTGATATAATTAAAGTCTGTAGTCTGTAACATTATAGAGATATATATTTATATATTTCTTTGACTAGGGCATTTGGAGGCGTGCCATTAGGCAAGATTGTTATCCATAGGATTCGGACTATTAGGAAGTGGTATCTATGCTGTACTGTAATTATCTCTTTATTATTTAACATTATTATGAGTTTTTCATTCTAAATTTAATTCCAGTTTATACTTTAAGCATCTGGATATTCTATCCAGTAGCGGAAGTATATTTATTTTTTTGTTCTACGTACAGGTGTTAAGCCCCGGGACACCTCTGGAGTGTCCAATTAGGTGTTTCCTCTACGAGTGTGGGTGGGACCGTGTTTGGACCACCACTTGTGGATCTTTCACTTAGAATAACTCTAGCCATATAAGGACAAAACCCCTAACTTACATTCCAGAGCTCTCGAACAAAGAAAGCCTTGTGACTTATACCATCTGTTACTTATGTCAATCCACACATCCATATATAATCAATAGAAACATAGAATATGCAATTCTAAAGGACTGAGCCAAATGTACACGTTGTGAACAAAACAAAACGCAAACAAAACCTGGCATTTGCGCTACATGTCTGTCCAACCGTAATTCACCTCTTTCATATTAAATGCACCCACCCTTATTATATATCATTTTATTCAGGGGAAACAGGGCTTTCATTTAATATCAAATATTTAGCTATGAAACATAATTTAATATGAAAAACATGGGAGAAAATAAGATTTTTTTTTGTTTGTTTTACATGACATTTTAACTGTCAATGTCATAATACTGTTTGCTTGTACTGCAATAAAATACACATATTTGTATTCAGCAAAGTCTCACATGTAAAACAGTACCCCCTATGTACAGGTTTTATGGCGTTTTGGGAAGTTACAGGGTCAAATATAGCACGTTACATATGAAATTTGAAATTGAAATTCGCCAGATTGGTTACATTGCCTTTGGGACTGTATAGTAGCCCAGGAATTAAATTTACACCCATAATGGCATACCATTTGCAATAGTAGACAACTCAAGGTACTGCAAATGGGGTATGTCCAGTCTTTTTTAGTAGCCATTTGGTCACAAACACTGGCCAAAGTTAGCGTCAATATTTGTTTGTGTGTACAAAATGCAAAAAAACGCCAATTTTGGCCAGTGTTTGTGATTAAGTGGCTACCAAAAAAGACTGGACATACCCCATTTGCAATACTTTGGGTTGTCTACTATTGCAAATGGTATGCCATCATAGGGGTAATTTTCATTCTTGGGCTACCAAAGGGTCTCAAAGGCAACGTAACCAATCTGGCGAATTTTAATGTGAAAAAAATGAAACACAAGCCTTTTATTTGACGCTGTAACTTTTGAAAATACCATAAAACCTGTACATGAGGGGTACTGTTGTACTCGGGAGACTTCACTGAACACAAATATTTGTGTTTCAAAACAGTAACAAGCATCACAGCAATAATATCGTCCGTGTAAAGGCTGTTTGTGTGTGAAAAATGCAAAAAGCTTCACTTTTACTGGTGATATCATCGTTTTAATACATTTTACTGTTTTGAAACACTAATATTTGTATTCAGCAAAGTCTCCCAAGTAAAACAGTACCCCCCATGTACAGGTTTTATGGTGTCTTGGAAAGTTATAGGGTTAAATATAGTGCTAGCGGGGGGGCGGGGCTTGACCGCCATGCGGAGAAGTCGCATGAAACCGGTGCTCCTGCAAAGAGGTTAACTTTAAGCCACCCGGACAGCAATTAGAACAAGCCAAACGGGCAACATACTTACCCACTCCACCGAACCCACGGCTGCACCAGTTTGGGAAAGCAGGGAGTCTCCGGATGCACTACCTGAGGCAGGTCCGACTTGCGGCCTAGCAGTTGATGCGGGGTGGAGGACGCGGCCGGTCATCCAGCTCCGAAGTCCTGCAGACGCAGACCATCCCCCCCCCCCCCTTTGGACCGTTGGGGGTTACCACGGTCCACCATGGCACCCACACAAGCCTGTCATCACACAAGCGGGCCCTGGTGGGGAGACGGGGGCGGCAACCCACACCACATTACCGCCTACCAACAAGCTGCCCCACACACCAGAGCAGCGGGCGGCTACCAAGCTCTATACAGCGGCGGAGCAACGGAAGCAGAAGAGGTCAGTGGCAATCAAGCAACGGCAACATGCAGTGGAGGGGGCCCCATGACAAGCGACAGAGAGAAGCCTTACCCACCCCCTCCAGCACTAAGCGCCTGCACACAGACCGCTGCAACAGCTAAAGGAAGGAGAAGCAATGGCCTGGACCCAGGACCACAAGGAGGGAGGATGAGTTAAACGGACTGATCCAGGGACTAAAAACACTATAAGAACACTGAAAGCTCCTTACCCAGGCGCAACCATTCTGCCACATTTCACTGCTCCCACCGCTAGGGGTTACCTGTTGTGAAGATCATCCTAACTAATGGTGTCGTGACTCAAATATAACAATCTGTCACCCCAGACTCAAACATCACTTATCACGCTAATGTGTCATCATAGGTTTAAACCTTTGTTGCCTAGGTTTGAGCATTATTGAGCTTATGTACTACGTGACTGCTTTATTTCCTTCTAAGCTTGCGTATTCAGCACTAGTATGTTTATAACATAGGCCTAATACACTATCGCATATAAGCCTGATAATCAAAGCATGTGTCTATAATCCTGCACACAGATTAGTATAGAATCCTAATATATGCCTGTTCGAATCTTGAAACGTTTACCTACCTAACCTATGACTTTCCTACATCGTTATAAAATGTAAAATGGTGCATGTACTACCAGTAACCCCTATTGTAAAGTTTGATATTACGCACGAGGATTGCCATCGGGGTACCTCATGCTCACTTGTTGTATTCACTTGCACTACAAAAATAAAAAAAAATTATAAAAAACACAGGCTAGGACAAACCCGCCTCTACGCAGGCGACCAAATGTATATGCAGTGTTAAACCAATGCCTAAGCCCCTGCGTGGGCAATCACTTGCTTTATTATGAATCAATCTGATGCATGACTTTATATTGTGCATACAATAAAAATATTCAAAAAAAAAAATATAGTGCTAGCAAATTAAATTCCCTATACTTTCGGCATGGGTTGTCAGGCAGGTCCCGCTAATTGTAATTAATTAAAATACCTTATTATGTAAAAATATTACATAAATATATATGTAGAATTAATATATGTTTAGATATACGTATGTGTATATATATATATATATATATATATATATATGTATATATATATATTTTTTTTTATATATATATGTATATATATATATATAGTGATATATACGTATATATTTATGTATATAGATATATATATTATTTCGTTCTACGTGTATTTTGATATAAATATATATATTAATATCACAATACAGTTAGAATGAAATAACACACGTCTATATATTTTTTAATTATTACGCATTTACATATTTATTTTTAGATTATATATAAAACAATAATTATATATATATATATTTAATCAGTATCAGTCTACGTGTAATTTGATATTAATATATATATTAATAGTAAAATACACCTAGACAGTGTATGTGTGTATGTATATGTGTATATATATATACATAGATCATATATATATGATCTAAGTATATAATTATTTTTTTTACATTGATTTTAACTTTATTTTATTTGATTTCCAGCCAGCAGGGGACTAATTGTCATTACAGGCAGTCCCCCTGCTTGCAATGCAGCAGCCAGCTAACCCGGCCATGTGGGGACATTCATATGGGAGAAGGAGCGCCCTTTCCAACTGGGTTTGCGCCATGTTCCTGGTTGGTTGGCACGAGTGAGGTCTGATTGGTCGCTGCAGGGCGCAAACTCCTCCCTGCGAGCTGATTGGCATGATTTGTTTTTGCGCCTTTCAGCTGATTGGTTGTTGCTTGGTATAGGCACAAAGTTTGAATTCACCGGACTAAACCAAGTAACTTCTTCCAACTAATTTCGGTGATGTACAGAGCCTCGAGTCCCAGACATTAGACGATGATTTCTCGGGCTTTGTACATCCGATCGCCCCGCTTTTTGCAGGGAACCCCATATGCGACCCGGGGCTATATAGCGATTTAGGTTTTATCTATGTGACCCGAACCGAGCCCCAAATGTTACCCCCGCCCCTGTATAGAATATGTTTTAATGTGTATCCCTGTGTACTGTTGATCTCTCCCAGAGCACGAAATTGCTATCTGTAACCCAACCCCCTCCTGCCTGGGATTGTGTTGTACTGAATGGAGACCCCCTGCGGGGTCTGTGCATAAAAGCTGTGTGTTCCAAATAAAGATTGGCAGTGTTTTACCCTCTGTAACGGCTACCCAGTTGGTGAGGAGGTATCAGCCGTTGGAGACGTCCTTTCCCTGGCAAGATGCTGTATAAAAATGGAGTTGTTCTTATTCCCATCCACGAGATCCAAGGGTAGAAGCAGGCATAGCTGGAAAATGGAGCAGAGTAATGGTGTAGTAAATCCCCTTTCAAGAACGAGACGAGGCTACGTTTTGAAGGGTCATGCAGAACTAAAGCTTTAATGACAGACACTCTCTTTTATGTGATTCTGCCCATGCAAGGGAGACACCCACATAATTAACAGTACAGCCAATAAACACAATATACATTCCATACATCTCCTCCCCTTAGATAACCACATAACATAATTAAAAATGAACATGTTTTCCCCAAAGTTTGGATGTACCCCAAATACTTGGGATACAGGCATAAGTCTGGTGTCCCCAGATAGCTTGGTTCTGGGGGACCAATATATCCAAAATTCAGATCATTCGGTTCAGCCGTTCGGGAGTTATGGAGCTTTAAAGTTTTGACCGACCGCATGGGCATACTGGCCGAAAATAGTTCCATACGTTTTGGCCTTGCGGTTGG